TCTAGCTGCCTTTAAGATTTTTCTTTCATGCTGACCTTGAATAGTCTGATGTCTATGTGGCTTGTGGATGGTCGTTTCATATAGTGTTTCACAAGAGTTCTCTGAATTTCTTCTATCTGTGTGTCAATCTTACTAGCAAGATAGGGGAAGTTTTCATGGATTATGTCTGCAATTCCTTTTTCCGAAGTGCCCCCATTTTTCATTTTCTCTCTCTGGAATGCCAATCAGATATAGATTTGGTCTCTTTACATAATTTCATACCCCTCAAAAACTTTATTTTTTTTTTCCCATTTTTTAATTTTAGAGATGTGGGGTACAATTCAAGGTCAGGTATACAAATGTTCATTATGCAGGTACCCTTGTTGATGAGGTGTGCCCTTCCCTCCCCTGGCAGTTTCCCTATTTTTAAAAAATTTTTTTCTTTATTTTTGTCTGGGTTGATTCGAGAGATCAGTCTTCAAGGTCTGAAAATCTTTCTTCTGCTTAGTCAAATGTGTTGTTAAGGTGTGTGGTTGTGTTTTGAGATCCTTTTAGTGAATGTTTTGGTTCCAGAAGTTCAATGTGGCTCTTTGTTAGAATGGTCATGTCAGCTTTCAATGCTTGTTCTATTTTTTCTTTTTTTTTTTTTGAGTTGGAGTCTCACTAGCCCAGACTGGAGTGCAGTGGCCGCTCCTGGTCACTGCAGCCTCGACCTGCTGGGCTCCGGCGATCCTTCTGCCTCAGCCTTCCAAGGAGCTGGAACTACAGGCGCACACTACCACGCCCGGCTAATTTTTTTTCATTTGTTGTAGAGGTGAGGTCTCGCCTGCCCAGGCGGGTCTGGAACCCGCGGGCTCAGGCAATCCACTCACCTCAGCCTCCCAAAGACACGGGATTACAGGCTGAGCCACCGAGCCCGGCTTATTTTCATGGCCTCTCTGATTTGAAAGCCACTTCCTCTTGGATCTCGATAAACTATCTGCCACCCATATTCTGAATTTTGTCTGTCGCTGGTTCATTCTGTATAGGATCCATTGCTCAGGAGCTGGTGTGATCGTGTGGCAGCAGTGAAATAGTTTTGTGTGTGCATTGCCAGAATTCTTGCACTGATGTCCTCCCATCTGAGAGTGCTAATGCTTCTCTTGCTTTTTGAAATTAGTTTGTTATCGTTGGGATGGAGCTTTTCTATTATTTTTTTGTCCTTTATGATTTTGGCTGTGGTGTATGTTGCATATAGTCTATTGGCTTTGTTCCTGAGTTTTTCAGAGGGCCAGCGCTCTAGACCAGTTCCTTGGTTTGTAGCTAGCATCACCCTGTGACTGCCCAGGAGGTTACTAGTTGTAGTGTTTTTCGTTAGGAGGCGTAGTTCGGCTGTTGTCCCGTAGCTCGCACTTAAAAGTGAGGTCCAATAGTAGCAGCTGCATTGCAGCTTGGCTTCCTAGGACCACCAGGCCTCAGCCACAGATATCAGGCAGGCGTTATGTCTCCCTCGCTCCTCTGTGGCCTAGAGCAGGCTGTCCCCTCTGAGGAGCAGCAGCCGAGATGGGGAGAGTGATGGGTCTCCTGAGTCCTTGCTGCCCCTGCTTATTTTCGCTGCAGTTTCTGGTGGGTGCATGATATCCCTCTTCTGGGGGCTCCCTCGCTGGCCCAGGGGAAACAGCGGCAGAGGCTGCAGCAGCCATAAAGTATTTGCCTTTCACAGAAGAAGGTTGAGACTCTTAGCAGGCCATGGCAGCTGGTGCTGAGCTCCGCAGGTAAGGGGGGCTGCCACTCAGGACTCTAAGCTGGCCTTTGGGGTCCAGGGGTCATAGACGCTCTCCCTTAACAAGAGTCCACGGCAAAGGCATGGGTTCCTGGGGGTTTCACTCATTCCCTCACTTACTCCCTCCTTCACCATATTGGGGGAACATCCGTGGTTCTGCACCGGGTCCAGATCCGCAGGGTGTCTGATTTCACCCCTCTGCTTTTCATGGATCCGCCACTTCTCTGGTGAGTCCCAGGGTGTGCTCTTCATGGATCTGCCACTTCTCTGGTGAGTCCCAGGGTGTGCAGTGTCTCTCCCTACTTTGGTTCCTCTCCAAGCGAGGCACACACTACCTGCTTCTAGTTGGCCATCCTGAATCTCTGATAACAACTTTTTAGATTCACCAAAAGCATCAGACAAGAGGGGGAAAAAATGGGTAAGTTGGACTTCATTAAAACTAAAAGGTTCTGCTCTGCAGAAGACACTATTAAGACTGGGAAAAATATTTGCAAAACACATATTCAGTAAAAAAAATTGGCGTCTAAAATATACAAAGAACTCTTAAAGCTAACAAAGAAAGCAAACAAACCAATTGAAAAATCAAAAGATAGGGCCTGGTGTGGTACTTCACACCTGTAATCCTAGCACTTTGGGAGGCCGAGGCAAGAGGATCACTTGAGGCCAGTTCAAGACCAGCTTGGGCAACACAGCAAGAACCTCCTCGCTCATAAAAAATAGAAAAGTTACTGGCTGCTATAAAAAAAACATTTGGTGATTTCTAAAAAAGTTAAACACAGGTTTATCGTATGATTCAGAAATTCCACTCCTAGGCAAAGAAAATATATAGTCACATAAAAATTTATATTTATTCATTTGTATAAATATGAATGTTCAAAGCAGCATATTTATAAAAGCCAAAGAGTAGAAACAACCCAAATGTCCATCAACTGGTAAATGAATAAACAAAAAGTGGTATAGCCATATGGTATATTCTTCAGTAGTAAAAAGAGGTGCTACAGTATGTCTGAACCTTGAAAACATGCTAAGTGAAAGAAGTCAGTCACAAATTGCCTCATATTGTATGATTCAATTATATTACATGCCCACAACAGGCAAATACATAGAGACAGAAAATAGATTAGTGGTTCCCAGGGTCTAGGGGGAGAGGGAAAATGTGTGGGGTTTATTCAGGAAGTGAAGAAAGCATTCTGGAATTAGATAGTGGTAATGGTTGTACAACCTTGTGATTATACTCAAAATCACTGAATGGTACATCTTAAGAGGGTAAATTTTATGGTATGTGAATTATTTTTCAGTATGAAATACATGTGTAACAGGCTATCTCTGGCTGGGCATGGAGGCTCACGCCTATAATCCCAGCACTTTGGGAGGCCGAAGTGAGAGGACTGCTTGAGCCCAGGGGTTCGAGACCAGCCTGGGCAACTTGGTGAGACCACATCTCTACAATAAATCAAGAAAAAATTAGCTGGGTGTGGTGGCGCACACCTGCAGATCCAGCCACTTGGAAGGCTGAGGCGGAAGGATGGCCAGAGCTCAGATCGAGGCTGTGATGGCTGTGAGTGTGCTACTGCACTCCAGTCTGGGTGACAGATTGAGACTCCAACTCAAAGCCCCCCTCCCCCCTGCCAAAATGAAAACCAGTTTCCTCCTTTAAAAACAGACCCCAAACACAAGTCTACTCTGAACCCTGGCTGCTGAATTGAGAAGATTACAAAATTCAGGAATAACAAAGGCAAGCTGATCGACCTGAAACATCCAGCTGCAGTCAGTGGGCCAGACGCTGGCACTGTTCTCAAAACTGCCTTCTTCGTGTGCTGCAGATCCTCCTCAGCTCCTCTCAGTGCTGCCTCTCCTAGAAGGTAAGAGTGGCTGGACTGGGCCTCAGCCTCCATGTATGGACATGACCGAATTGCCAACCGCAAGGACAGCACACAAATAGATACACTTGTTTTATTTTTAAAGAATAAAAGCCATATGGCCAAAAATTAAAACCATATAGAAGGATATAACATGAATAGCAAGCTCCCAGACTCCCCAGTTTTCACCCCCAGATGTGATCCCGGTTAAGTTCCTTTTGTAAATTATAACTTTATTTCTGAAATGCTTATTATTAACGTGACAGGAATATTATGCAGAATATGTTTCTTATAAAGGTTAAGTCTTCCAGAGTCTGGTTTAATAAAAAGCTTAAGCGAAATCCAGGTCTTAAATACAGAAACTTAAAATTTTCTTAAACTATAATAAAAAATTTAAATCTGAATAGAGCCAACCTTTAAAAAAAAAAATCACGTATTTTAGCCTCTAAGTCAGATTTTACTTTATTTCTATCTATGACACTACAAACTCTTCAAAGATTTATAAGATGGCATAAGTTGGAAATGACCTGGAAACAATTTATTATTAACTAGTTTAAGTCCCTAAATCCATCAAGAAAAACCACCTAACACACTTAACATTAAAAAGAGACAACAATAAGACAGGGGTACACCTTGACAAATAAATCAACTGCTCCTGGTCAAATTCCCAATATTCAAGAGATTTAAAAGTAACTTCTGACACTTTCAATATTGCCTGTAAACAGATTTCAGGTGCCTTAGATGATAAGGCTAAGATGGACATAACTACAATCTAATTGCTTGGGAGTTGGGGTGGGTGGGTAGGAGGGTTGGAATAACCTGGGAACTGCAAGAGGAAGAAATAATCCAATCAATAGTAGCAATGAAAATCTGTGATCTTCTAACAAATGAGTACCAATTTGGAACAGCTAATGTATATGGACATTTTCTCCCAAACAGGGAACAAAGTGAATGTGGGAAATCAGATTTCTTGCAATATTCCTAGGACCTAGGCAACCAGTCACATGCCTAGAGCAACTAAACTTTCTAAAGCCTGAATATTAAAAAGGTCTACACATGGTAAACTTAGTATTTTAAATTAAAAAACAGACACAACCTTGCAACAGCCAGCAAGTTATTAATCAGCCTCTAGTTCCTACAGATTCTGTCCATGAAAAGAGCTATAGCCAGACTCGGTGGCTCAGCCTGTAATCCCGTGCCTTGGAAAGCTGAGGTGAGTGGACTGCCTGAGCCTGCGGGTTCGAGACCCGCCTGGGCAACTTGGTGAGACCTCATTTCTACAATAAAATAAAAAAATAGCCGGGTGTGGTAGCGCGCGCCTATAATTCCGGCTACTCGGAAGGCTGAGGTGGAAGGCTCGCCGGAGCCCAGCAGGTCGAGGCTGCGGTGGCTGGAAGCGGCCACTGCACTCCAGTCTGGGTGACAGAGTGAGGTTCCAAACCAAAAAAAAAAGAAAAGAGCTATATAACTATGCCCTTTTTAAAGGTGCACATAACTTGCCCATTGTGCAAATTCGGGATCACCTGATCTCAACAGGCAGTGCCTGCCCTGGGCTGCTGTTTCAAGGCAGGAAATTGAGGCGATCAGAAAAGTAGCCAACACTATTTCTGCTGTCACTGTCATTCAACCTCTTTTCAACTGGAACGAGCTGGTCCCTAACATTTAGGGCTAAATAGTGAGCCAGTAAACAAAGCCTATGCCAGCAGAGGAAAAGGGGCCTTTCGAGCATATGAAGGGTTGGCCAGGCCCATTCATTTCTTATCTCTGTTGTTCTCAAGGAAATTCCTCTAAGGTGAGCCAAGATTGGTGGCTCATTTCAACAGAGAGCACCTCTCCGCTGCTCTGGGAGTTTTCAGCCATCTAACTAGATTCTCATAATACAGTTCTCATCCCCCTGCTCGGGAAGTTCCTAAGGAAGCAGATGAAACTAATTAGGACACAGCCCATCAAAGGCAACACAAGTATTTTACCCGCTGTGCACAGAGACCCCCCCACCACCACTCTGGCAAAGGCCACAGACGAAACATTTCTCCCGCAGAGGGGTCCACAGTCATTGTCCCCTCTCTTTAGCGCTCGGCCTGACAAACCCAGCCTGTCTTCACCATGTTTCTTTTTCCCGAGGCACAAATATTTATTTTCAGCTTATTTTTGAGAAAGGCTAATTTTTGCAGGCCTGTTGGGATAGAGAGTAAAATCAGATCAACAATCCTCTGAAAGTCCAGGAAACGGCTGCAGGGCCTTTTACTTCATGAAATGCCCGGGCCAGCTGCGCTCTTCTATGCTGGGTCCTCCTCATCCACTGCCATGTTGTTGCTGGTATTGTTTTTCTGCTCAGCCTCTGGCCCTGCAGGCAGAATGCTCGTGACGGTGTGGAGAAGCGCTTCAATCTGCTCCTCGGTGAGCCGCTCTTCACTCTCTTCCACCATCTGCAAAAGGAAAGAAAAGTCAAGCAGGGGTTACCAGTGAGCCTCACGGCCCTGGTCCCTCTCTGTCCTCTCTGTCCACATTGCTCACAGGTCCAACCCAGTCTCCTGGCATACAGAGCTCTGGGCCTGGGTCCTGAGCCACCCCAGGTCCTCTCCATCTTCAGATGAAAAGGTGAAGCCAACTCAGATGCCAGACTGAGCCAAGCAGATGTGACTGCTCAAAATGAGTCAGTAAAAAAATGGAGTTATAGGACAGCATTTTTCTTTAAAGAAAGAACCCTAACAGTTCCATTCCCAGTCACATACACATACAGAGGTGATATGTTGCATATGCAACAAGAACTTCTGGGAAGTAAAACAACACTTTATACGCTTTCGCATTTCACAACAAGCACATCTGTAACTTAATGAACTGTGTCAACAACTCACTTGAAGGCTGCCACTGTGTGCCAAATGGTTTCCCTGCGTCCTCTAATCCTCACTACCACTACCAGCAGCTCTTTAGGGGGGGGCCTCCCACGTGTCTGGGCTTGCACCTCGCACTTCACATGCATCATTTCCTTTAATCCTCATTAACAGTTTTGGTAAGGTGCAGAACTGGAATCCCAAGCCAAGCCCGCCAAGTCTAAAGCCCATAACTTAACACACTTCGCTTGGCCTTGGTCGTCTCTTGGGGATGCAGAACCAGAGTCTGCTGAGTGCAGGCTGGGAAACAATCCCACACTGCCCCATCAGAGGCCCGCGACAAGCCTGGTTTCTGACGTGGTCCCAGAAATCTGAATACAGAGATGACACCCACAATCGTGAGCCAGTTTCCTTAGCCTCACCTCTAATTGTAAACACAATGTAGTCAGCCGTCTTTTTAAGAACAGTACGCAGGCAGCCAAGTTATTTACCATGCTCACCTGGTGACATTAACCAATGACAACAAACACCTTTCTCAGCTAATGGTGTCCAGGGTCCCATTCTACAGCATTTCCCACAACTATCTCTGAAACCCAGCAACCAGAACTAAAGAAGTTCCAGAAAGAAATCCTGGCAGACTTAAGGAAAACAGGATGACAAACTGGGCTAATAATTCTGAAAGGACTTCAGTCTGACTGCCTCACTTTCCAGACAACAGTACAGAAGTTCAAGAAGTCATGTGACATGTCTAAGATCATACCACAAACTCCTGACAAAACACTGGTCACCTCATTCATTTTAGCCCAAAAAATGTTTTCATAGGATAATAATCCTGGGTATTCTAGGATGGGAAAGACCCTAAATGAATCAACGGGAGTGACTTCCCATCTTACTGTGAAATAAAATGACCATTTTCTAAAGATTCAATGGCTCCATAAAATGTAAGGTCTCTACTGAACAAGAAACAATCTTCAAAAAGCCATTTTAAAAACCAGACATGCAAAATTAGGTTCTGTAAAAAGCAGTAATCTAACATAGACTGACCCTAAAGAATGAAGGAGGAAGAAAGAAGGAAATATCCAAGGAATTGATTATTTAATCTGGAGAAAAGGTGATCTCCACTTGATAACAGAGTGTCTCTGAGTTCACGGCCACTGGTGTAGTCCGCTCACAGACAACCTCGCACCAGTATGTGTGCAGTGCTCCAATTGCTGAGGGAACTTCCTGAAATCACTGCCGCCAGAGTTTTAGGAGGCCTGCACATAAAGTCAAGACAGTTTACAGATGAGTAAGTGGAGGCTCAGCATTCTAAGGAAAACTGAATGTCGTAGAAAGCAGGTTGCAAGGTATTCTGAGTCTGAAGCTCAGTCCTAGAGCACCATGTTCCCCAGTAGGAGGTTCTATCATTTCTTCTCTCGAAGATGCTGAACAGCAGACTACAGTCCACTGGTTTGAAAGTCTGGTTGTATGACCTCTAAGGGCCTTCTAGGAAAACCACAGAGGGTACTTTCTTGCATTCCTATCTCTGGATCTGGCAGTTGCAGCACTGATCAAGTGTTACTAGGTGTGTTCTTAGCAACAAAGCAACAGCGTTCTAATTTTGCCAAATTTGCTAACATAATAAACCTTTAGGATTAATTATAATCAGAACCCGTTTTTTCAATTTAAAATCTGCTATCACAGGAAGAAAATCTAAGCTGCATTAACGTAAATAAAATATACACACAAAAAAAACTTTCAGAAATCAACTTATTAGCCCCTGTTGAGTCACAGCGTAAATGACAACTACATTACCCCTCACCTTTTCTTCTCAACACAGGAGAAACAGAGCCCAAGTAAAGAATTTAAGTTGAGCTGGGCTCGGTGGCTCAGCCTGTAATCCTGCGCCTTTGGGAGGCTGAGGTGAGTGGATTGTCTGAGTCCGCGGGTTCAAGACCCACCTGGGCAGG